AGCTTTGCTGGCTGAGGAATTCTGGGAGTTGAAGTCCACAAGTCTTAAAGTTGCCAAGGTTGGACACCCCTGCTTTAAACTATAAGCAAAGTTGAGTTTTTGGATGCTTCATCTTCCTCATCTACTTCCCTATTCCATGGAAAGGTACCCTTTGGCTTGTTGTAATTTCTGATTTGTATTTGTAATTTTATTTCATTTGCCCTTTGCTTTTATTATTGCTTTTTTAAGATTCTCAGCACCTCTGGACCAGTGAAGCTGCTTATTGTGGATTCTGTTTCTGCTGTAATCTGCCCTTTCTTGGGACTTCGGCAGCCTGATGGTCAGTCATGCACATCTATCATCACAGAGAATGTTTCTTAATATGCTTCATTAATGTCCTATTGTTTTGCAGAATCATATCCTAGGTGGTCCATAGCATAAAGCAGGTGTGTCCAACCGTGACAACTTTAAGACCTGTGGACTTCAACTCCCAAAATTCCCTAAAGTCCTAAAGCTGCCAAAGTTGGACACCCTGACTTAAAGAGTTAAAAATAACATTTTGAAACATGGAGGACACTAGAGAGATTAGCAGGGCTAAGAAAACTAAAATCACAAAGGTTCCCTGGTCACATTCAATGAGACAACCTATTTTCTGCATGTTCAAAATTCTGTAGGAATAAAGTTTCATATGTATGAAGTAGTAGTTGAGTGTAAAAGTATAGTACACAAATATCACAAAGTACCACACTATAATACTTAAGGTTCCTTACAGTTATTTGTTGTTGTTCAGTTGCTAAGTCATGTCCAACTCTTGTGCAACCCAGTGGGCTTTAGCGCAATAGGCCTCCTCCTGTACTTAAAGTCTCCTGGAGCCTGCTCAAATTCATTGCATCGACGACACTATCTAAACATCTTATCCTGTGCTGTCCCCTTCTCCTTTTGCCTTCTGTCTTTCCCAAGATCAGAGTCTTTTCCAATGAGTCTTCTCTTCTCATTTGGTGATCAAAGCATTTGAACTTCAGCTTCAGTATCAGTTCTTCCAAAGAATAGGATTGATTTTCTTTAGAAAAGATTCCTTATGGCATATGAAAAGCTGTAAATAGACATAATACTTTAATCTTCACCATTCCATTTTTCTTCTTAGGGTATGATGTGACAGCTTCCACATCTTTTAGTCCCTGTGGCTGGGAATTACAAGAGATGAACCGGGAAACTTTTGTTACATGTCCAGCTCCTTTGCACTAGATTAGTGAACGCTGTCACAGAATGACATTAGACCTTTCATTCATGCTAGCAAGCAACATATTAATTTATAGAGCTGTGGTGGTGCAGTGGTTAGAATGCAGTACTGCAGGCTACTTCTGCTGCCTGCTGGCTGCGTGCAGTTTGGCAGATTGAATCTCACCAGGCTCAAGGTTGACTCAGTCTTCCATCCTTCTGAGACTGGTAAAATGAGGTTCCAGATTGTTGGGGGCAATAGGCTGACTGTAAACCACTTAGAAAGGGCTGTAAAGCACTGTGAAGTGGTATATAAGTCTAAGTGCTATTGGCATTCCATCTTTGTTATTTTTATAAATAAATTAAGGTGGTGAACATATCCAACACATCCTCCTCTTCCTATTTTCCCCACAAAACTGGGGGGAAACTTCACACAACCCTGTGAAGTGGGTTGGGCTGAGAGAAAGTGACTGGCCCAAGGTTACTCAACTGGCTATCATGGCTAAGGAGGGACTAGAACTCACAGTCTCCTGGTTACTTGGCTACTGCTTTAATCATTGGATCAAATTGACTCTCTGTTATACTTCTCAGGGGATAAGGTTTACACAACCAACTAAATCCTAAACCTGCATTAATATAATTTCCATGTTTGTTAACCATGCTGTTCCAAAAACAACAACCTATTTTAATGTAAAGTGATAACTTGGTTCACAAATGTGCTATCTACCCCCAAGACAAGGTGACAAAATACTTCCATTGTTGACTCAAGCAGAAGCTTACAAGAACTCAGAGAAGCAATTATTAACAGATGGTCCCTCTATCAAATGAAGCCTTTCAGATTGTGGAAAAAAGGAAAGTTATTCAAGGCCACCAAATGCCCATCCCAATCCAAGGCATCGTTTCCCTATTTGGTCCCTTGAAGGGGTGTTGCATCACAACTGTATTCTAAACAAACATTCTTAGGTTCATACTTCTTCCAGCCGATTATTCCAGTGATATTTTTTAAAAACAAATCTGAAGTAATAAATGGTCAAGGCCCTTTATAATCAGAAAGCTAGGTGTTCCTAGCTCGTACAGTTTGGAAAGGCTTCTCCAGCATGGATGTGATATAGAAAGTTTTTCTTGCTTCCCTTCTGCTAGATAGGTGTATATTTTGAGGCAATCCCCAGAGTCTAGGGGAAATACAATGAATAAAGAGAATTGTATAGCTTTAAGTGCGGTGATCTCTCCATCTCACTTTGTAGGCATGGCCCTCATGATGCATTTGGCTAGGGAGATGAAAACCCTTGCCAAAGAATTTGGGATCGCCATATTGGTAAGTATGTGGCCCAGGCTTTTCCTTATGCTTCCTTTTGGCTTTATGTGTGCATAAGTGCTATAGTTCTGCTCTTCTGGTGTGAGCTAGGTCCTTGTTTTTTATTCTAAAAGAAGAATAAATTTTGTTCTAAAAAAGGTTTTATTTAAAGTTTAATCTAAAAAAATGGGGGTGTCACGTGGATTCTATAAAACAAAGCATCACTCTCCGGCATTACCTTTGCTCAATGATGCAATTCAACTGGTGTAACAACCGGTTCGGTGATCGCATGCTTTGCGGGCGTGCACACCATTTAAAAAAGGCAATTTTCAGCTATAATACGTACCTTCTACTGCAGCCCCAGTGAGTAAAACAGCTGAGGCACAGCAAAACCGCTCTGCCGTGCAAATCAGCTGTGCTCCAAGACAAGGAAATAAAGCACTGGAAAGAGCAAGGGTGGATGGGCGGGGCCAAATCACCAGAACTACTGGTTCACCCAAACTGGTAGAATCCCACCACTGCCTTTACTTCTAAGACTGTTTTTTTTTCAAATGGGCTTAATAAACCTTTTAGAATACAGGTGGTCCTCAGCTTATGACTATAGCGATGCTTAAACTATCTGTTATCTTTTAGTTGACCAATCATGTGACTAGAGCTGCTGCTGCTGGTGGTTTTAAACCAGCATTGGGTCGCTCATGGAGTTTCATACCTAACACTCGGCTGCTGCTGGAGAAGAGAAAAGTCAATTCTGAGAAAGAAGGTCGAGTTGCTTCTTTGATGAAATCTTCTCGACAGGTGAGAGAACATGTAACAGTTGTCTACACCAGGGGTCTCCAATCTTGGCAACTTTAAGACTTGTGGACCATCTCCCAGAGTGCCTCTGCCAGCTGGCTGAGGAATTCTGGGAGTTGAAACTCATAAGTCTTAAAGTTGCCAAGGTTGGAGACCCCTGGTCTACACTGTGGCCTCCATATATCAAACTTCTCCAACTTAGGGATGTTCAATTGTTTTGGAAATACATCTCTCAGAATTCCTTGCCAGTACAGCCAATCATTTATCAGCAGTGTAACCTAATAGTTAAGAAGTAGGATGGAATCTTAAGTAGGAGACCTGGGCTCATTCATAATAGCTTTCATATTAAACATCGTTCATATTAAATTTCATTCAGATTAAACTTCATTCATAATAAACATCATTCAAGTCCCTTCCCCCATCCCCAGGAAAATAGTCTTCCCCAAATCTGGCACCTCTGAATGACTATAGTAGGTCAGCTCATCCAAATATAATGAACTGCATGATTCTGAGCCAGCATATTTACTTAACGACAATTCCCCTCAGTCTCAACCTGCATGGCCAGGTTACACGCTGGCTGAGCATAATGAATATTGTAGTCAATGGTTCTGGAAGGCACCAAAATTAAAGAAGGGTTAGTAGAGTTTTAGAGGTGCAGAAGGGCTGTGGAGACTTATTATGTGGGTGCACTCTAATGCAAGAGTAGACATGGCAGCATCACTATTTTTATCTGAATGTGATAACATTTGTCAGTTGTTGGCACTGGCTGGAGCTGATGGGAGCTGGTACCTAAGACTCTAGAAATGCAACACTGGGGAAGGCTAATTATTAGTACAATTAAGAAATGGGACTGTGTTAACTGTATTAAGAAAGAAGCACAGATAAAAAGATAGGAAGAATTGCAATTGTTCAGGGACTCTGACTTTGCTTAAAAAGTTACAGCTAGTTTGTGGTTTTGAGTTTTGAGCAGAAAACATATCCTGCCTATCCTTGATATTAATAGGCATGCAGTTGTAATTTAATTTTCAAACATAGCCCTGGAAGGGACAGGAAGCATGGAAGGATTAATTGTTTTTAGAATAATGGGCACATTTGAAGTTTTGAGAAATATGGGCATTTTCCCAAAATAGCTCCTATTTTAGTAAACAAACACACCCACTATTTTTTCTAGTTTCTTTGTTTACTTGGGGGGGGGAGGGAACTTTTCTAAACAAAGATGTAGACTAACAGGCCAATAATTTATTTTATAAGAATGGATAGGTGGCCTTAATTTAGAGAGGCAATCCTATAAATAGATAACACCCAAGTTCAAAATTTTGCTTTTCAGGTTGTAGGAGTCTCAAAGTTTAATTGAATAATTAATAAAGTGTGATGAGGCAGAGAATTGGAATATGTGAGAATGTTGGTGCTTAGTGAACAAATTTAGAAGGCGTGTCTCTGACTGAAAGACTCAGCTGCTCAGGGATAAAGTTGGCCTTCCCTTAAGTAAGTTTGGAAGGATGTACAGGATATTTCCATCGCAGGATGGGCAGTGAGTGACCCAAATGTAGCTGCAGGTATTGCTAATTTGAATTTACCATGTTTCTCATATAATAAGGCCGGGTCTTTTTTTTTTTTTTTTGAGCCCCCCAAAAATGGCTAGGCCGTCTTTTCGGGGGTGACTTAATTCCCCCCCCCCCTTGCATCCTCGGGCAGGCGGGCGGCGATGGCTTGGATGTTGACCTCGGCATTGGTGGGGCATTTTGTATCGGGAGACCTTCCGTGACTGTTGCTTTCCCTTCTCCCCGTGCTGCCGCGGCATTTAGAGCAACGCTGTGGTGTTTGGCGCAGCCACACAGCATTTGGCACAGCCATGCGGGACCGGCCAGGGGTCCTTCCTGCAAATGGAGCCCAGCGGAGACACTCAGCTTCAGACGCTCCTGTCGCCGCCTTCCCAGGCATCGTTCGAAGGCAAAGCCCATTCTTTTAAAAACGACACCCTACTACCGGTACGACAAAGCCTGCCCTGCCCAAGAGAGCAGCCCAACCCCACATGGGGAGGCGAATCTCCCGGGCCCACAGCGCAGGATCAGCCCACCCCGGGAGAAGCGCCCAGCCGCCATCCCTGCCTGGCGCCGGGCAGAGTGCGAAGAGCTTTGCCTGGGGCGCCCAGCGCAGCTGACAGGCAGGCCCTCCTGCCCGGCGGCGGAGCTCTGGCCAAAGCAGCGAGCACCTCCCCGCCGGACCCTCCACTCATCCTGCCAGGGCTGCGCCGGAGCCGGGCGGGGTTGGCAGAGCCGTGAAAGCGAGCCGCTGGTGCGCAGCCGCCTGCCAAGCGAAAGAACCGGGCTGACTCGAGCTTGGCTACCTTCCCAAGTCCCTCCAGCCCGACCTGGAAGGGGCCACTGGGAGAGGCCGCCTGAGGCAGTGATAGCACTCACCCATCCGTGGACAGGGAGGCAAGGCGACAGCCCGCACCGCGTCCTCCGAGCTGAGCCCCGCCGAGTGAGCGCCTCTGCCCGATGCCCATGCCGCTGCAGCGTTTGGAGCTGCCGGTGAGTTTGGAGATGCATGGGGACAGGAACAGGCTGGGTGAGGAGTGGAAAGGACGGGCGGCTTCGGGCTCTCTCCGCTGGACCTGCCAGCCAGGGAAGCAGCACCTGAAGCCGAGTGTCTCCACCAGGCTCCGTTTGCAGGGAGGAGCCCTGGCTGGCCATCCGTGGCTGCGCCAAACACCGCGTGGCTGCGCCAAACGCCGCGGCATTGCTCCAAACGCCGCGGCAAGTCCCCCCGCCATTCCCCCCCATTTCACATGTTTTAATATAGGCCTTAATTTGGGGGGAGGGGCTTAATTTCATTTCATGCCAAGAAAACATGCTGGGACTTCCTATTGGGGGAGGCCGTATTGTTGGAGAAACAGGGTAGAGTGTTCCAAGATAAGATTGCCTTTAGAACACATGTAATGGTTTGTTCTGGGAAGAGAATTTTTTTGTCATAAAATAAATCCATCTTTATAAGGTACTGTAGTATAAATCCTAAAAAGGATTAGCCTGTATGACTATTTTTTTTCTCTCTCTAAATTTAGACCATACATCTGTAGCCCTGGACAGTATACTGGTAATACACTGATGTGAAAACAAACTTCCAAAGTGTGCTTCCCTCAAACCACTGCTGAACATTTAGCTCATTGCTTATCAGTGAGAAGCAGTATAGTAATTAAATAATGAATATTGTTGAAACTTCTACAACTGGAGACAGGTAGTCCTTGACTTACAACCACAATTGTTGGGAACTGGAATTTCCTTCGTTAAGTGATGTGGTTGTTCAGTGAGTTGTGTCTGATTTTATTATCTTTTTTTGCTATGATCTTTAAGCAAATTGCTGTTGCAGGTGTTAAGTTGAAGTTAATTGTTAATTAATTAATTAATTTCATTAATTGAATCCAACCTCCCCCCTTGACTTTGACTGCTGGAAGACCTCTGGGAAGGTGGCGGTCATGTGATTCCGGGATGCTGCAACCATCATAAATACATGCTTAGATGCAAGCCCCTGAATTTTGATCTCACGACTGCAAGGACACTGTGAGGGTCATAAGAGCGAGGTCGTGTCACTTTTTTCAGTGCTGTTACAACTTCAAATAGTTGCTAAATGAATGATTGTAAATCATGACTGCCTGTAGTAGGCTTTTCTGCTATGTACTTGTGTTGGGATTCTTACAGTGTTCTTCTCTTTTACAGGCTTTTGGAGTTCAGGCAGAACTAGACCTGAGGAACTGGGAAGTGAAAAAGGGAAATCCGGTCAGATCAGGAGAAGGACTAAATGATGGCAGGAGTGTGTCTTCCTGATTCACTTCCAAGGCTTTCCTGAAGATTGCAGAAAGTCTGAAAATGAAAAAAAAAAGCAATTTGGTTTTTAGAAGAACAAAGAATAAAAATCAATATCAGCCTTCTCCTGACAGAATCTGCCTCACGGATTTATTGGATGTCAGCTCCCGGAATCCTGAAAGAACACGACCTACAATCAGGGATGATCTGAAGTCAAAAACTTTTGGTGGACACAGTTTCTTTGGTTGGGACATCATATTGTACTGGTTAATTGAGGAAATGTGCATTGGATTAACTGAAGTCAAGGGTCACTCTTCAGCAATTGCAATTTTTGTAGATAAATGTACAGCTTGTCATTAGTAAAGGGATATTGAATGGAGTTGTTTATCCGAAGGAGCTTCCATATTTTTCCCTGTATTACTAGGGTGTCTTGACATCCTGATTTTTGCTTTGTGAAATGGACAGGAAACATAGGTACCAGTGATGGTATTCTACTGGTTTGGTCTGGTTCGGGCGAACCGGTAGTAAAAAAAACAGCTACCGGTTCGGCTGAACTGGTATTTTTTATTTTTTTCCTACTGACGATCAGCTGTTCCAACGATCAGCTGTGCCGGGATCCCCCTCGCTGTCTTACTGCTTCACCCAGGAGACTTCCCTGAGGCCCAGGAGACAAAAAGGGGTGCGCAGGGTGTGTGTGTGCTGTGCCTCCCCACTCCGTTTTTTGCCTCCTGGCCCTTAGGGAAGCCTCCTGGGAGAAAAATCGCCCTTGCAGCACAAGGGGGTGCTGCAAAAAAACAAAAGAGAAGAAACCACACCCACCTAGTCAGATGGCCACACCCACAGAACTGGTAGTAAAAAAATATTTGCATCCCACCCCTGGTAGGCACTGTATTGATTGTGTGTCATTTTATAAGCCACCACAAAGGTAGAAATATACATCAAATGAGGCTCTTGTAGACACTTTGTATACAGGTTATTTGATGAACCAGAACTCTACCACTAAAAGCTGTTTGTATCAGTGATGAATGTCATGCCTTTTAGATATTTGAGACTTCAGCCGGTATTGGCCACAATCCACATGGCCCATGGCAAAGGGATTGTGCAGGACACCTTATTCTTGGTTTATACAACGGAATGATGTTTCATATAAAAATATTAATCACACGAAGGGGAATGTGGCTAGCCACTGATGAGAATACCATGCTCAGTTCTCTGTTCTTCCATCTAGCTATTTTATTAATTTATATAACCAGTTTATCTTTCTAAATATCAAAGATAATTTAAACAGAATGTTAAGGAAGAAGACTGCGCAAAGGGAAGGGGATTAAATCTTATTTGAAATACCCAAAGAAGGTTGAGGAAGCACTGCTTCCCAGCAGTGAAGAAGCTGAAGTTCTTCATATTCTTCATTCACTGGGCTAAAGGAGTTTAAATGGAACAGTAAAAGAATATTCTTCTTCCAAGATGGCAGCGTAGCTACATTGCATGCAGAAAATAATTCAAACCACTGACAGATAAACAAGCAGAATGAAATTCAATACCAGTGGGGATTCCCTTTCAAATCAATTGTTTTTAATGCTACAAGGACAAAAAGTTATTTCTACAGAACTCTTAATGAGGACTGCAAGAAGCAATCTGATTTGTCCTTGGAATTGTGGAAAGCTGGCTCAACCGCAAGCTGAATATTAGATAAGCACATTGCACCATGTACAGAGTGGAGGAGATTTTACTGACTATAACTCTTTTTGAGTTTTGAGTTTTAGAGGTAAAAGAAAAATAGTTAAATAAAGTAAAAAAATTAAAGTTAATAATACAGGTAGTCCTCAACTTATGACCATAACTGAGAAATTTGTTTCTAAGGAAGCTAGTTAACAGAAAACAGATAATCAGAATTGGAAGGGACCTTATGGGTCATTTGTCCAACCCCCCCCCCCCCACCCAAGTGGGAGACCCTGCACCATTTCTGACAAATGGCAGTCCAATCTCTTGAAGGTCTCAAGGGATGGCGCTCCCACAGCTTCCGAGGCCAAGTTGTTCCATTGGTTGATTGTTCTCACTATCAGAAAGTTTCTCCTTATTTCCAGATTAAATCTCTCCTTGTTCAGTTTCCATCCATTATTCCTTGTCTGGCCTTCAGGTGCTTTGGAAAATAGTTTGACCCCCTCCTTTCTGTGGCAGCCCCTCAAATATTGGAAGATCGCTATCATGTCTTCCCTGGTCCTTCTCTTCACTAGTTAAATGAGGTGTGCCTCATTCTATGACCTGTTTGCTGTCGTTAAGAGAATCACTACAATTATTAAGTTAAGCAAATCAGGCTTCCCCCATTGACTCTGCTTGCCATAAGTTCCCTAGGAAGGTTGCAAATGACAATCCAAGGACCCTGGGAGGACGCTGCAACCATTATAAATACATGCTAGTTGCAAAGTTTGATTGTGTGTCTGGGGATGCTTCGATAGTCGTAAGTGTGAGAACTGGTCACAAGTCACCTTTTTCAGTGCTGTCGTAACTGTCAACCCTGAAGTGAACCTGGCTGAGGCCATTTTGGGTTGCCACACAATAGAGGGAGGGGGGAGGGAATAGTTAGATGGGGTTTTGTAGCCAAAACAATGCAGTTTTCCTGTGGGAACCAAGGATATTCTCACAGGTGACTGGCCAGAGAAGGAGTGAAGTAATCAAGCAATAGGCCAGCAACTGGATTGGACGGTGTGGCCAGTGACTTGGAGGAAAGGGGAAACTTTTACTTTTTAATTAGGTGAAAGCCATGGGAACTGTCAGAGTTGGCTTTCACCAGTTGTTCCAATATAATATATCCAATAAATTGTTCTTTGAGGAATTTGCCTGCTTTGGAGTTCTGTTTTCTCTAGGTGCATTACTTGGAATACTGACAGTAACGAATGATCATTAAATGAATGATGGTAAGGCGAGGACTACCTGTATACGGATAACCCCTCAACTTACAATTGGTCACTTAGCAACTATTCAGAGAAACCATGCACCTATTTGGAAGGTACTTAGGGGCCAGGATTCAGGCAGTAGCCCCTCCCCCCGGTCACATAACAGTATTTTGGGCACTGAGCAACCAGGCCACATTTACAGCTGTTTGCAATATCTCATGGTCATGTGATTGCAGGACACTTTCCAATGCTTCCCCCCCCCCCCCCCCCAAAAAAAAAACTAGCTCATAGCAAGCCCATTATTTAACAATCACTACAAAAAAAGATAATAAAAATGGGCCCATTGTGTGGGTGACCTGATTTATGGCAATCAGGACATACAATCATGATGGGCAGGCTCCATGGCTGTCGTACATCGCGGAGTACCTAGAGCAGTGATGGTGAACTTTTTGGGCCCCGACTGCCCAAAGTGCTTGTGTGCATACCCCAAATGCAAGGTGCACCCCCATGCCTGTGTGCCCCTGTGTATGCCCGTGCCCTGTGCATGCCCGTGGGCCCCCATGCATGTGCCCCACCAACATGCATATGCCCCGCCCCCCCATATGCACGGCAGAGATCCGAAGGCCAGCTGGCGGGTAGGAGGCATGCACGCATGCATGGTGGAGCTGAGCTGGGGCGATGGCGAGTGTGACCACAGAAAAGGCTGCGTGTGCCACACGTGGCACTCATGCCATAGGTTTTCCACCACAGACCTGTAAGTAAAACTGTTAAGGAACTGTGGTAATTAAATGTGGCAGTTCGTTGACTAGTGAAGGGAGAAGGACTCTTAGTTGGGCACCTCAGGGCAGACCATGAAGAGGATCCTTTGAGAGCCCTCTGCATTTTTTTTTTTGCTATCGTTTTAAGTGGGATCAAAGGATGTGGATGTAGAGGTACGACATAGTATGCAGCGTGGGGTGGAGGGAGGGATAAAGGGGAAGAACAATTTTCCAAAAAGGGAGGGAGAAGGGGAAGAGAGTATGAATGCAGAGGAAAGAACGCTAATAAGAATACACTTTCTATAATATCCAGCAACTTTTTGATGTGAGATGATTTGTTTTCTTTTTCTGATGTTCAGGGTTGCTGCAGTGTATTTGTGTTCACCTAAATAGAGTCCTTGCACAGCTTCTCTTGTGGGAGGTTGGGTATTTGGTAGTAGAGCACTTGATGGACATGGGTGGCTTTTTTTGAGGTACACTTGTGTTTCTACTTTGCCATCATAGTCTCTGCTGATTAGGATATCCAGGAAGGGTAGTGAGTTTTCTTCTTCCCTGGGGAATCGGATTTCTTTGAAGATGTTGATGGTTTTGTGGGTGTTTTCTAATTCAGCAACTTCCATCCTTTGGGGCTCCAGGGATTGATTCTGTGGAATCTATGGTGGGTTTTTTTGTGGACCGGGGTGCATGGTTTCACACTCTGCCTGGATCCCACACATGTGTGGATGAGTCTTCGCTTGCTTGTGTGGCCCGGTTCCTGCTGGACCGCAGCCCGAAGTTGGGGACCTCTGCTCTAATTGGTCCTTTAAAAATTATTATTTAAATTATTAAAACTAAACAAATAAATTAATCAATATTAGCTTTATGTTATTTAGAATATTTACAGCTTTTGACTCACTCCAACTACATTTTTTAAAAACAAATGCAGGTAGTTTTTGCCTTACGACCACAATTAAACCGATAATTTATGTTGCTAAGTGAGATTTTTTGTTAAGTGAGATTTGGCCAATTTTACGACGTTTCTTGCCACAGTTGTTAAGTGAATCACTGCAGTTCTTAAATTAGTCACACGGTTGTTAAGTGAATCTGGCTTCCCCGTTGATTTTGCTTGTCAGAGGGCTGCAAAAGGTAATTACTTATCCCAGGACACAGCAACAATCATAAATACGAGTCAGTTGCCAAGTGTCTGAATTTTGATCATGTGACCATGGGATGCAATGGTCGTAAGTGTGAAAAATGGTCATAAGTCACTTTTTTAGTGCCATTGTAACTTTGAACGGTCACTAAACAGACTGTTGTAAGTTGAGGACCACTGGATGGTGCTGGATAAAATGATTGAACATATGAACAGATCAACCAAAGCCCCATAAAACTTAATAGTTATGATTCAGATTTCCATTATAATTTTAAGAGGTAATAAAGCAAGGTTGTCTTTTATCACCATTGTTATTCAGCCTAACTAGAAATGCTGGCAATTGCATTTAGATCTAAATAATCAGATTACTGGGATAAAAATAGGAAAGAAGATATATCTTTTAAATCTATTTGCAGATTATATGGTCTTGACTCTCAAATTTTATTTGTCATTCAGCTAATTATATTAAGGAGTTAGAGGAATTTGCAGAGGTGTCTGAACTATCAATTAACTTTCATAAATTATGTTTTTTTTTCACACACTCCCAAAAACCCAAATGGAAACTTACAAAATTTTAGGGTTTTTCAATAATACATAAAACTTTAAAATAGTTAGGCACCACTATATCTAAAATGGTGATGAATTTTTTATAAATAATTATGTACCAAGGTGGAAGAAATTAAACAAATTAACAACTGGGTCTCAACAATTTCAATATTGTAGGGCAAATTGCAATGGTTGA